CTGCTCCACCCCATCCTAATATCTGGAGAGCTAATATTCCGGCAATCAGGGACTATGCTATCTCGATTGACTGGTCGGTCGATGCTGATGGATCGATGGACGATGCATGGAATAGGTTTAAGTCTACGTTCGAATCCGTAACTCAACCGTTTATCCCATGGTCAGCACGTAAGCTATCATATTGCCCCCCATGGATTAATAAGGAAACCCGGAAGCTGTTGAAGCGTAGGAAACACTTCTGGGACTTATTCTTGTCAACAGGTCAGGCATCATTTAAGTGCGAATATAAAAAAATCCGGAATATATGTAAAAAGACCATAGCTAAATCCCGCACGGCTTACGAACGACAGTTGGCATACGATAGCCGTACCTGTCCGAAGCGACTGTTTTCGTATGTTAAAAGGCGGACGAAACGTAGTGATGGTATCCCCCCGTTACTGTTAAGCGAAAATTCAGATTTATTGGCTGTATCTGATCTAGCGAAAGCGGAGACATTTGAAAAATATTTCAGTGAAGTCTACTCTACGTGTAGTGTTACAACTACTTGGCCCATTGACAACGAGATACCAGCCATAAGACCTATACACGTGACCGAGGATATTGTTCTTCCATTAATAACTAACCTCAAACCTTGTAAGATACCGGGCCCCGATGGGTTACATCCACGTTTGCTTTCATCGCTTGCGGACATTATCTCAAGCCGCTCACGACGCTCTTCAACGTATCCCTTTTACGCGCTCAACTACCTAGGGACTGGAAAGACGCCATAGTTAGTCCTATATTTAAGGATGGTCAGAGACGGATCGTATCTAACTACCGGCCCGTTAGCCTGATCAGCATAGTAGTTAAGTTACTTGAAAAATTAATTCGGGCTAAGCTACTGAGTCACATAGATTCGTACAATCTGTTAACTCCCGAGCAACATGGGTTTCGTAACAAGCATTCATGCTTAACTAACTTACTCATTGCGAGAGAGGATTGGACAGCTGCCCTAGACAACGGCCTGTCTGTCGACGTTATATTCATAGATTTTAGCAAAGCGTTTGACAAGGTTTCATACTTAGGTCTTATGCAGAAGCTCTCGAGCTTTGGAATAACAGGTGCTATACAGGAATGGATAGGAAGCTTCTTATGTGACCGCAGACAGAGAGTGAGGGTCAATGGAACTCTATCCGAATGGAAACCAGTCAAAAGTGGTGTACCCCAAGGCACCATCTTAGGCCCTTTACTTTTCCTTCTGTATATTAATGAACTACCTTTACTACTTATGTCGTCGACGTTATTGTTTGCGGATGATGTTAAAATCTGGAGAATAATAAAAAATGAGACTGATCGTTGTTATCTGCAAGCAGATTTACACAAATCAGTTAGATGGGCTCATGATTGGGGCTTGGAAGTTAATTCCAGGAAGAGTGTGTTCATGCACATCGGGCACGATATCAGTTACTACCATACCATTAATGGTACATCTCTTCCACGCGTTCAAGAACATAAAGACTTTGGAGTAACTATAAGTCACGACTTGAAAACTACTAAGCACTACAATGCGGCTGCTTCCAAAAGTTATCGTGCGCTATGATCACTTCGCCGAGCATTTAAATGCTTTGACAAGGAGATGTTTTGAATTTTATATCCCACCTATGTAAGGCCACACTTAGAATACTGTATCCAAGCAGCTAGCCCTTGTGTGATAAAGGATACTAAATCGCTTGAGCGTGTCCAGCGTGAGGGGACAAAATTAATGAAGGGTCTTTCTAAACTCCCTTACGATGAGTGTTTGAAACGTCTAAACTTTTTCCCCTTATCTTATCGTAGGACACGAGGTGACTTTATACTGGCATTTTGTATCTTTAATTATGATCTGGGTGTTAATATGCTTTATCTTTTTGCCCCCTCCAGCACTAATAATCTCCGAGGTCATAGCAAGAAGGTTCACAAACCGTGATCTAATAAACCATAAGGTGGGGTCCAGTGTTGCTTATCGAGTGGTCGATGACTGGAACGCTTTACCAGAACAAGTGGTATCAGCACCATCAGTGAACTTTTTCAAGAAGAAGCTGGACCTTCACTGGAAGGAAATCTGTCAGGATTAACACAGGTTCATCAACCTACTATCCTCATTACTAAAGACTGAAGACTTATACTTCTTCAACCACCATTTTGAACAAGTTAAATAGCACTATACATATGGTCATGCCTGGATGCACACCAACTTCACAACCAAGAGTTTCTCAATCTTGATGAGTCAGTATGGTGTTCAGTAAGATTGTCTACCACCTCGAGTTGTCTAGTTGGGGTCATCTACAGGAAGCCCACTGCCGACATCGAGTATGACAAACGTCTGCTGGAAGGATTAACTAGCTCTACGCGTCTCGGATTTTCTTATATCCTGATTCTAGGGGACTTCAATCTTCCTAGAATCAACTTCGTGGAACATACATACATTGGAGGTGACAACTCTACTGAAGCTCTGTTCTTCAACTTCATCGGTGACCTAGGATTATTCGAAAATGTGAAGTCGGCAACCCGTTGGAGAAACAGTCAGACGCCGTCGCGCTTAGACTGGGTATTCACAAATGAAGAATTCCTAGTTGACGACCTCTCAATCCTGGCTCCCCTGGAGAAAAGTGATCAGGCCGTCCTATCATTCAGCTTTGTCAGCAAAACGGAGCTACGATATCCTACTGGCAACAAGCGCTGGAACTTCAAACGGTTGAATGTGCTAGCTTTACAGGACTATCTACAACAGGTGGATTGGGATGTTCACCCTCAACTTGAAGTGGATGCTCATTGGGATTTTTTACTGCACACGATCTTATGTGCTACCGAGCATTCAGTTCCTAAAATGGTCCCAAAAAGCTACAAACAACCTCCAATCATCAAGAACCGCACCCGTCGTTTGCTAAACCGCAAAAGGCACTGTTGGGCTGAATATAAACGAACCGACAATAACGACGCATACAGGCAATATAAACGCATAAGGAACATATGTTCAAAGGCAATAAGAGAAGACAGGCTTCAGTTCCAGACCAAGCTTATCGATAAATTCGTCTCCAATCCGAAAAGCTTATTCAGTTACGCAGCTTCTCTTCGACAAGGTAAAACTGGAGTTTTCCAACTGCTTGGTCCTAGTGGCCCGACCAATAACGACAGTGATGCCGCTAACCTCTTGGCTGAACAATACTCCCAGACATTCCAGATGACCCACATCAACTATACTGACGGAGGCTTCACCTGCACCTGTACAGAACTTTCCGAAGTGGACCTGAGTGCTGACCTGGTGCTACGTAAACTGCAGCACCTAAGAAAAGACACTTCTCCTGGTCCGGATATGGTTCATTCCGCTGTTTTGAGGGAAGTAGCTTCAATCCTGGCGACACCACTTAGCGTGATGTTTGCACACTCGCTAAGCAGAGGCAAACTACCGGAGATTTGGAAGCTGGCCCACATCACACCAATTTTCAAAGGAGGTCGACGCAGTGAACCCTCAAGCTACCGACCAGTGGCCCTTCTTTCTATGCCTTCCAAAATTATGGAGTCCCTAATATACGACGGTATACTAGAATACTTATCATCCTCAAAGTTCTTCTCACCTCAACATCATGGTTTCAGAAAAGGTCATTCTTGTATGACCAACCTGCTGACTGCGGTGGATAGATGAACAACCATCCTTGATCGCAAGGGAAAGGTTGACGTCATCTACCTGGATTTCTCAAAAGCTTTTGATAGGGTCAACCATGCATGTCTTATCTAGAAGCTTAGACGATTGGGTATAAAATCCCCTTTGATTGACTGGCTCTCTTCATATTTAGAAAACCGACACTTTAAGGTCAGGGTTAACTTCACTCTATCTCAGGCTATGGAATGTCCTATTGAGGCCCCCCAGGGCTCAATACTAGGACCTCTTCTCTTCTTGATTTACATTAACGATCTTCCCCAACAAGTTTCATCTGACTTATTGCTTTTTGCTGATGATGTGAAATATTTTAGAGTGACACGTAATCATAATGATAAACTAGTTCTTCAGAGGATCTGACCCGACTTCAAAGTTGGGCAGACGACAACGGACTTACCTTCAACACTTCAAAGTGCAAGGTAGTCCATCTGAGACATGTTGCAGACTATAGTTATAACTTAGGTAACTCCCCTCTAGAAGTTTCCCAAGTCGAAAAAGATTTAGGAGTGTTGGTACCCTACGACCTGAAATCGTATGCGAACTGTGACAAAAACGCCTCTCAAGCAAACCTTGCACTGGTAACGTTGAAGCATATTTTTGGCCAGTTTGACTGTAGAACCTTCTATATAATCTTCAACAGTTTTATTCGTCCCCACTTAGAGTACGGAAACATAGTATTTCCTCCCTCCCTCCAAAAGGATAAGGATACTCTGGAACGTATACAACGTCGAGTCACGAAATCAGTTCGGAGACTCAAATTCAAACCTTATGAAGAGCGCCTCCAATCACTTAACCTTTACCCGTCAAAGTACAGGCGTCTTAGAGGTGACCCTGTTATGTTCCACAGTATCCTTAATACTTCTGGTCATCCCCTTAAACATCTTCTTAAGCTTAGTCATAACACTAACCTGAGAGGTAACACCCAGAAATTGGAGACTCTATATAGCATAACAGACTGTAGACACAACTTCTACTCCGTTAGAGTTGTCAAGTGCTGGAATTCGCTGCCGACTGAGCTAGTTCAAGCGACCTCCCAGGAGTCCTATAATAGGAAACTTGATTTATTCTTAAGGACTAAGGATAACATATTATTATGATTTACCGAATTCTTTTTTTCCCTTCATTATCGTTCATATACCTAGGTTTTTGCCTGGAGGTACTGGTGATCCACTGCTACTAGACATGGAAGCCCGTTAAGCGAAAGCTTCTTTTATTCCGTCCTCAACCGTTTGAATCATTTGAATCAGTTATCATTCGTTAAATAAGATGGTAATTTTAGACAAAGACAGAAACACTGTTCAATAAACAGGCAATTGATCAACAACAAAACTTCAAAGTCGCTAATGTTTTTTCAGCTTATTGTTTTAATCCATCATACTAAATTTTGTCAGTGTGACCTGTAAAATCCGCAGATCTCAATATGAGGGCAGGTGCTTCTGGAATTGTATAGTTAGCGCATATATAAATAATCTCGTCAGTTTACCGTTATAATGTCCTCAAAGGCAAGGGAAGTCTTAGTGATATTAGTTGTAGGTTCCTTTTCAATGTTTTATCAGTGTTTAGACTGCTTTAATCTATTTCAGTGTAGTAGACTGTGACACATGTCCGGCAGACAATTTTGCAAATGCTTTAGTAGCTGACCAGCCTAGTTGTGCGAAAAAGTGGTTACCGGTCAAGCAGCTTCATTGGACGAAGAAGAAAAGGATACTGGTAATCCCTTTGTTGACTAGCAAACAGCTGTTTTTCTTTGGGTTTTTCAATGTTTGTCAAATAGAGCTCCGCTTTGTCCTGAGTTTTTAAAGTATCCCAGGCTATAAAATAATACAGCCATGGGTAATCACTAAAAAATATTCTGTCGACATCTCATTAGTCAATCAAATTGTACCTCCAATTTCCCTATAATAAAGAATTTTATATAGCGATGCTTCAGGTATCTATTTCATTCTATTTATAGAGATAAATAAAATATCGCGTGTATCACGTGTTTTGTGCTAACAGTTTTTTTGGGATAACCTTATCAGAACCTCTACCCTTGGACCTGTAGCAAACTCACTGTTGTAAAGATTCATACCCTTCCATAAGGTTTCTGTTTAACTTTATATAATTTCATCTGCTTATTTTACCCATGTATGCATATATAAATATTATGAAATATTGTGTGCCGTACGCGTATAATATTGCGCAAAGCAATTATTATTACTATCATCATGATTACTATTGTGTTCTATTACTATTATTTGTATACTACTACTCTTTAATTCGCCCAGTAGCTCGTCTCTGTTGAATGTTCTGCCTAGCATAAGCGGTTTCGAATCGGCGAGTGGTCAATCTTTTAAATGATATCACTGAATACAAAACCAGTACAGTTTTCCTGAATCTACGCATTTAACCTTACCTGCTCCAACACATACATTTCGACGCAAGTGGAATGACAGATAGGTCTGGGTTTGTCTTTAGAAAGTCTTGATATTGACATGTACTATATATCTGTGACTAGTACTCAAGACTATTATAAAGTAACACAGACTCCTCCATCTGTTAGTCGGAAAACACTTTTCACATGCTGATATCCGAAGAACCTGTGACACTGTAATCCTATTTGGTTGAGGTAAGTATCAAATTAAGCACCAGAGCTGATGTAGCACTATTGGGTGCATCTCCTCTGATAATTGTTTACATTTCCACAATATTATTACTTTGTGGGCAACGTTTTGAGTGGCAAGATTGATATGCCTTAAATAAATGGGTAAACAAACGATTCCACAAACTCTTATTTCTCTGACCTAAAATTTATATTGATCACTGTGGACCTAACTCAAAACAATGTAAAAAAGGAGTTAAATAAAGAATGTTAGTTTGATTTTCTGAAGTTTCTTTGTCCTGGGGAATGAATCGAATATACCATTATTTCTTATACTACTGAAACACATTTTTCATTTACCATTAGTCCTGAGAAATATTCTTGAAATAAAATAGGAAATGATAAATTATGATCATAACATTAGCTATTTATTTTCTGACCACAGTGCTTAACTAATGACTATTCGGACATTCGAGGAATATTATACTCCTCAATGGTTTTGAATATCTGCTATTTTTAGCTTATAATAATTCCGTAACAGACAAACATAAGATTATCAATTTTGATAAAATTGAGCTATTTAAATTTGTTCTGTTTGCCTCAAATATGATTGATTATTTTCTATCAGTTATTTTTTCCCTTATTAGGTAACTGGTGGTGCTGGTTTTGTGGGCTCCCATTTAGTTGATAAATTAATGCAGGATGGTCACGAGGTTATAGCTTTAGACAATTTTTTCACAGGAAAACGACATAATATCGAACATTGGGTTGGACATAGGAATTTCGAACTTTTACACCATGATGTTACTAATCCTATATATGTGGAAGGTGATTATATTATCTATGCTTATGTTTACAATTGTTGCCTAATAATTTAAAACAATGTTAGAACGGTGCTTGTACCGGTTTAAAGGAATTATGTAGTTATTACTCAGAAAGACACCCAATCTAAAGAAGTTATGAGATTCTGTTGAAGTCATATAAATTATTGTTTATGCAGAAAATACTGTATTTTTTTTTCTGAAGGTGATAGTTTACAAGAGAGTACGTTCCTTTAAGTATTGTTGAGAAATGTCGACTTGAACAAAATACAGGTAAAAGGATTTAAGACCATCGACCCAACAGAATTCAACACAAATTCACACTTATATGTGTAACTTTAACTACAAACTGGTATTAACTGAGTGATCAGTGATAATTTGTAAGGCGGTCTGGTCAAACGTCTAGAGCACCTATTTACTTATGGAATAAATATTACAATGAACCTTCCTAGATTACATTTGTTTAAATTGAATGATTGTGAACACTGTGTCCACTCATGAGTTATTATAAAAGACTGTGAAATTATTGCAATCATAAATATTAAGAACCCCATACCAAAAGACTCTATTTATTGACTTGAATGTCTTCATTTTCTGTCATTCTAGAAAAATAAGTGGCTAATACATTTGAATTCATGTATCTCAGATATGATAGACGGGAGAAATAGCTGTACCATATGAACTAGCGAAAAGCCTTCACAATTGAAAATGAGTGATAGATGCTGATTATGGACAGACTTTATAAGATATATTTTTGAATAATTACAATTAGGACGTATGTTAAACAAAAATTTGTTGCGATATTACACATACAGTTCTGATAGTACGTTACTGCAATAAAATCAAATAATTGAATAAAGCTACTACAAACTCAGAATTATCTACAATCCTTATTACTGACATTTATCATATCTATACTACCGACTAAATTCTGTTGAGAAATCATAATCAGTGGAGTTCAAACACGCTGGATGTGAGACACATTACCAAATGAGATGTATGATGGACATAAAATATCACGAACCCATTGGGATTGGGGATGCGACCCATTATATCCCAGCCCTATGATCTGAAGTTTAGGTTCTTCTCGAGAACCTTGAAAGTCATGAGTTGTAGATATTCATCGATGAAGTGTATCATACTGAAACGAAATATCTGTCCTGTCATTCACAGTTATTTAAGGTTCTCTGATCGAAATCGGTTCGCGATACAAAATTACGAACTCAACATTTTGCTCAACTCACCTCATCTATACTAGCATATTATGTATCAAACTCTTTTTCATCTCAGGTACAAACCCATTTATGTTCACAGTTATGCATTACTGAAAAGTCCCCACAAACTAGTACTAGACAGCTTTACATTTACATAAAATTATTTTAACTAATCATAAAGTTAACAAACTAACTTTCATGCATAATCAAATAAGATTCTTAACAATGTCATATTTATAAAATTTATGTATCAATCCTTTTTAGTGGATGAAATTTATCACTTAGCTTCACCAGCATCACCCCAACATTATATGCATAATCCTATACGTACTATTAAAGCAAACACATTGGGTACTTTAAATATGTTAGGTAAGTTATATCAAGATAAGATGTTAAATAATTGGTATCATCTTTTTATTACTGTAATTAATGTATTTTCATTTAAGTTTTTCATTTAACAGAAAATACAGAAAATACAAAAAAAAATATTAAAGAGATTGTTTCTATGTCTGTTTAATGATTCAACGTTATAGATATTCATGTGTTCATATTTTTACGTACAAATTACTATATCTATGTGATAACAACGAATCAGCAAAATACGTAAACGTTTGAAAGTAATTCTTATAATGAACTCACAACTCAAATGCCCTGGTACGGCCAAAAGTAGGGAGAGTCCGCACTCCCTCTCGAAATGCTCACATATGGCCATGCGTATATAGCGTCTTCCAGGGAAGTTCTACTCACTACCTTCTCGTGGCATTACTGTTGTTTACGAAATTGAGAGGACGAAAAGCGAATTTCCTGCGCTTTAACCGGGTTGGTGGACACGGAAAGTTCACCTAGGAGAGTTGGAAAACCCTGATTACAAACCAATGGTGCACATGAGCTCCAGTATCCTGAAGGGACAAATGCAATATGAATCAATCGTTGCTCACCGTCTACTATGGGACTGCATCTCCTCTCGATGCTCCACTGTCTTGTGGATCAATTCTTTAGGTCAAAGGCTTCGGGTGTGGCCCCCTACGAAAACCACCTTCTTCGGTTTGGGCATCTGGGCAGTACCATAGCCCTCACACAAATCAGATGAGATTTGTGTGGCACATATGTATCTTGTGCCTCCTTGTACAAATATTTATGTGTTCAAATAAATAAACATAATACGTTCAAATATTCCAAGAAATAGGATATCATTGCAATTAATAAAGTCGAATTGACCGAAGTGTAAAAGTAGGTATCGTTGGATACAAACTCAGTGGTATGAATGTTAAGCTCTCTTTATTAGATTTGAAGGTCCTGTGTTCTATTCCTAGTGGGGTCATATGTGCGTACACTGTTGATGAATACTATAGTAGGATAAAAGAGTCATACAGTGCCACCTATTTTTCCAGTGATTATGTGTAAAGTTATAGAATATGTTTAAATTTTATAACTCAATGTAATTCACTTGTATAGAAGGACAATTATCTATGTAACTGGAATGCGACTACATTATTCACAAATAGGAGAGCTAATTAGAATGACTTATAGGTTTCCAATGGAGTTTCAGAAAATTTATACTAAAATTAATTATGTTAGTCAACATTCGGTAAAATTGTTTGGAAGTATTTCGATTTTGAAGCTTTGCTGTTTTTGTTAAAAACTGACAATCTACAGTATTATTCAAAGTAAGGCGGCATTGCATAACTGTTCGATATCCGCCAACATCAGTGCTCATTCACCACTTCTTATGGAATAGTGTTCACAATAGGATTTGAAGCGTATGAATTCTGACAGTTAGTTATAATAAACACATATAAGGACATACAAGTGTATTAGTCTAACTTGTCACATCACATCACAACGAAATAAATCTAAATAATGTAGCAGCAGTGATAAATGAATAAAGTCATTAATAATAATAGTAATAAAGACTGAACTTTGAAAATACGCTTAATCGATAGGATTCGAGCTGTATTAAGAAGGACCTGATAGACATGAAATCGATCATTACTCCGTGATCAATCCATTACGAATACTCTTTGAACAGACAGAGTGGAAAGATACATGTGAAGGAACATTGAAGCTTAAGGTGCATGGTAAGATAAATCATAAATGCATCTACTCTATCATGACTAGTACTGAACCATGTCATACAAAACTTCTAACCAGAATTCTAACAGTAGATTTAGTTGGAATTTTATCTGTATGTTTCCGTGTGGTGGATGGGGGTGATTATCTGTACGTTAATAGGAAAATCAATCAAACTAATAATTCACTTCCTCATGAAATATATTAAATCCCTCACGAGTTTTCATGTTGTCCTTCTAAAGAGGCTACTGTAGCTCCTGCTGTATTGTTACAACTTTGTTTTTTTACAACATATCTGGAAGATTTGTATTCAAAGCACCTAGCTTTTTTGCTATAATGGTTTTTAAACACTCAACTGATTGATATGTAGGCGAAACTACAACTTCTAGCTGTTAGTAATGTGACGTTAAAATCAGTAAATCCGTAAAAGATGCCCATATATTTAATGGTGGGAACAATCGATAACAAGTAGCAAACCACAAACATGAAATCAAGAATAGATGGTAATTGAAAATGTTGGTTTACTAACCAGGGCATGATATACTTCTTGAATTTAAATGCTAATACTTTTCTAAACTATAATAACCTTTAAATTCATTTAGTATTGTTTGTTTGAATCTTCCCATCGATGTTTAGGACTGCAACTGGTCAATCTCTTATTGGCATATGTGCATATTGTGCGTATTGCCTCGATATAGCTTTCATTCACAAGCATGGTAAGCAAAGATGGATAGTGGCTAGCAGTGAAGTCCAGGACGCGCGTTTCGTCCTATTTGGGACTCGTCAGCTGGGTGTACCTGCATCTCAGAGTTGATATTCACTCTGGGACTCGAACCCAGTACTGTTCGCTTCAAACGCCATCGTGTTATCCACTTAGCCACTGAATCCTGATAGCCACTTGTTATAACCTTTTATGTGTAGACAAAATCATTGCTTATATACTGAAATAATTTGGTTAAATACAGTCCTTAATATATCAAAAACAGGAGAGTATAACATGGATTAGCACTTTTTTTTTCTGAAGGCTCATCTAGTTATTGAGTTTGAGTCTCACTGTAAACATCCATACTATTATCTAGGTAATTTTAGTAGATGACACTGATGCTGAAGGAAAACTCGTGTCCTGGATTCCACTGCTAGCCATAATTTAAATATCTTATTTGAAATCATACATTATGAAGGAATAAATTATGCATGAATTATTCACAAAATGAAATTATGAAGTCAAACCTTAATAATGCTACTTACATAATATATTACATGAAATTCATTCACCTTCTATTCAAGAAGATTTGGGAAGAGGAACAAGTGCCAATGGACTGGAAAGAAGGATATCACATCAAGATACCAAAGAAAGGAGATCTGAGCCAATGTGAGAACTACAGAGGTATCAGTTTGTTATCAGTACTAGGAAAAGTTTTCAACAGAGTGCTGCTGAATCGGATGAAAGACGCAGTAGACGTCGAACTTAGGGATCATCAGGCTGGATTTTGTAAGGATCGGTCGTGCACAGACCAGATTGCGACACTACGGATCATCGTTGAACAATCAGTTGAGTGGAACTCATCACTATACGACAACTTCATCGACTATGAGAAGGCGTTTGACAGCGTGGACAGGAAAACATTATGGAAACTTCTCCGACACTATGGAGTTCCTGAAAAGATTGTCAACATTATCCAGAACCCATACGATGGACTACAGTGCAAAGTGGTGCATGGAGGACAGCTAACAGATGCATTTCCAGTAAGGACCGGAGTCAGACAAGGCTGTCTACTCTCCCCATTCCTCTTCCTTCTAGTGATTGACTGGATTATGAAGAATTCGACATCTGAGGGGAAATACGGAATACAATGGACTTCTCAGAATCAATTAGATGATTTGGACTTCGCAGATGAAGACAGCAAATGTAGCAGCAGTCTCCGCATCAATAGGCCTCCACATTCACAAAGGAAAAAGCAAGATTCTCAAATGCAACACGGAGAACACCAACCCAATCACACTTGATGGCGAAACTCTGGAAGAGGTGGAAACATTCAAGTACCTGGGGAGCATCGTTGATAAACAAGGAGGATCGGATGCAGATGTAAAGGCGAGGATTGGCAAAGCAAGGGCAGCATTTCTACAATTGAAGAACATATGGAACTCAAAACAACTCTCAACCAATTTCAAGGTCAGAATCTTTAATACGAACGTCAAGACAGTCCTACTGTACGGAGGGAGCTGAAACGTGGAGAACTACTACGGCCATCATCAGGAAGGTACAAGTATTTATAAACAGTTGTCTACGCAAAATACTCAACATCCACTGGCCGGATACTATCAGCAACAGCGTTTTATGGGAGAGGACAAACCAGCTTCCAGCTGAAGAGGAAATTAGGAAAAGACGTTGGAAGTGGATCGGACATACATTAAGGAAATCACCAATGTGCATCACGACTCAATCCCTAACTTGGAATCCGGAAGGGAAGCGGAAGAGAGGAAGGCCAAAGAACACACTACGCCGGGAAATAGAAGCCGATATGAAAAGGCTGAATAGTAACTGGAAAGAACTGGAAAGGAAGGCTCAGGACAGAGTTGGATGGAGAATGCTGGTGAGCGGCCTATGCTCCTCCACAAGGGGTAACAGGCGTAAGTAAGTAAGTAAGTAAGTAAGTATGTACGTTGAAGGCTCCAATGTGTAGTTTGGAGCGAGGTTTTAGTAGACCTGGGACAGTGTTTCGCGCACTAGAATCGTTGACCATGGTGACACTTGAGGAGGAAACCGAAAGAGGAAGTTTATTGTTGAAAGTCGAGGTAGAAGGAATAGTAGGAAGTGAAGAAGGAGATTGATTATGAATACAGTGGTCTTGAGTGCTGTTAGAGGTATGGCGTAGGTGTATACACTCTTTATCTTCCCTTAAACCTTGAGATTAAAATTGCTTCATAACTTTTTTCCTTCCTATACTATATCCTTATATACAACCTATCTTTTCTATACTACCACCACTAAATTAACTACTTCTATGAATCCGGTGTTCATCTTGTTGTGCTAACGCGGTATGGCAACTTGGATCGATGCATAAATGTGCCTGGTCCTACGTTGTAGCTGACTGACTGACATGAAATTCATTACACTATGTATTTATTTAATTATTTGTACTTCTGTTGTAAACAACAAATTTTCAAAATCATGAGTCAATTGAAGCTAGACCATCATGGAAAACCCCTTTCTGATAATGATCATATACTCACCAGTGACTAGCTTCATGAGGTATTTCCTGGAGTTCTAGTGAGAAGCAGTAACCAGTGGAGTTTAACCAGGTCTGTTAGGAGATATCAACTCACTGAAGACATTGGTGAATGGTTACTCAATTTCGTGGATTAGTTGAAGTTAGACATCAACACCGTTGGATACCGGTCGGCTCAGTATTCTAGAGGTTATGCGTTCGCGCCCGAGACTTATAGGTCTTGATTTGGAATCTCGTGAGGTGGGATCGTGGATGCGCACTGCTGGAGAGTCCCACAATGGGACGAAACGACCGTCCAATGTTTCCAGGTTTCCCATGATGGTCTAGCTTCAATTGACTTATGATTTCAACTATTGAAATTGCTACAATATTCACAAAATCCCATCTGAAATTTTTAAAACTTCAAAAACTCATTATCTCAAAACTAACAAAAAACGAAAACACTTATAACAATAAACCTATATTGTATTGTTAAATTTTATAAATGCACAGATTGATACTTTTCGTTTTGACCTAGTTCAATCCTTATCTATATTGTATTGTTTATAGTTTAGATATAATTCAACGTTTTCTATTCCAATGGTCAACTATATGTAAATTGAAGCGGACTTAATGTTAGGTCATATTTATAGATAGTAGGGTTTACTATTATTTTATAATTTTAATAAACAGTTTTTAAGTTGAAGTATTGTTTCTGCGTTAGTGCTTCTGTTTAAGGTTATTTTTTGGTGTGGGTTTGTTCTCTGAGCTGGATGGTTTGGTCGTGTTCAGAAGGACGATGAAAGCTCCACGACCAAACCATCCAACTCAGAGAACAAACCCACACCAAAATCACCCACCTGAGCTACAAATTTTCTCCACCATCTCAAAGCTTATCTTTATTTTCTATACAGGAAATTGAATTCCTGAGGAGTTATCCTGAAACTGTCCCCAAATGCCCTGGTACGGCCGAGAGTGGGGAGAGTCTACTCTCCCTCTCGAAATGCTCTCACATGGTCAGCGAATATATAGCCTCTGCCAGGGAAGTCCTACTCACTGCCTTCTCGTGGCGGGGGTGTTGTTTACGAAAGTGAGAGGACGAAAAGCGAATGTCCGGCGCTTTAACCGGGTTGGTGGACACAGAGGGTCCACCTAGGGGAGTTGGAAAACCCTGATTCCAAACCAATGGTGCACATGGGCTCCAGTATCCTTATGGAACGAATGGCGGACGAACCTGTCATTGGTCATCGGCTACCATGGGTCTGTATCTCCTCACGATGCTCCACTGCCTTGTGGATTAGATCTTTCGGTCAAAGGCTCCGGGTGTGGCCTCCTAAGAAAACCACCTGCTTCAGTTTGGGCACCCGGGCAGTATCACAGCCCTCAAGCAAATTGAATGAGATTTGTATGGTGCATATTTATCTGGTGCTTCCTTGTACCAATATTTATGTGTTTAAATAAAATAAAATAAATCCTGAAACTAGAACAAAATAGTTATCCAGTGAATTATGTTTCTCGAACTAATGTTATTTATTTATGAAAATGAATGTGATATTCAAATAATAGTCAATATTAGATATAGTTCTATGTAGTCAATTTACAAAATTGAAAGATATTATCAGTATTGGAAGGAGAGATAATGGTATCTAGTAGTCAATTAACTTTCAGACGATGTGTTGTGTGACATACAACTCATTAATGATAACTATATGACTGTGTTATACATATCACAACCTCAGTGACAGAATATGTCTCCTCATCAAGGTCGTGGAAACGAAAGCCTTTTAACTTGAATAAAAGTAAATAATTTGCCATACAACTATAATATAAGAAAAAACCAATTAGGATCGAGTAAACAAACTTGATTTTTTGCACAACATTTAAAAAAGAAAAAAAACTTTTATTTTACACCACATGAAAAGCATAATAGAAATACCTTTTTATAATGCTCAAATTGTTTAAAATTATTTATTTATTTATTTAAACACATAAATATTGGTACAAAGGGGCACCAGATATATATGCGCCACACAAATCTCATTTGATTTGTGTGAGGGCCGTAATACTGCCCAGATTCCCAAACCGCAGCAGGTGGTTTTCGTAGAGATCCACACCCGGAGCCTTTGACCTAATGGTCTGATCCAGAAGACAGTGGAGCATCATAAGGAGATGCAGTGACATGGTAGCCGATGACCAACAATTGATTCATACGCCATTTGTTCCTTCAGGATACTGGAGCTCATGTGCACCATTGGTTTGTAATCAGGGTTTTCCAACTCCCCTAGGTGGACCTTCCGTGTCCACCAACCCGGTTAAAGCGCAGGAAATTCGCTTTTCGTCCTCTCAATTTCGTAAACAACAGTAATGCCACGAGAAGGCAGTGATTAGGAATTCCCTGATAGAGACTATATACGCGTGGCCATGTGAGAGCATTTCGAGAGGGAGTGCGGACTCTCCCTACTTTTAGCCGTACCAGGGCATTTGAGGGCTGTCTAAAATTACGAAGAAAAGTTTCTTTTTCTTATTATGGAGTGATAATGTGTGTTGAACTTGTGAGATGCTTGCTTTTTTCTACATTAATTGTACATAGCATGTAGATCAATGACTTTTCGTTTTACTTTTCTTTGTCTATGGTAAGCTGTCAAAGAAGTCACTTTATTGATGTTGACTGAATAATAGGTGAAGTAGCGAACTATGAAGGCTAAAATAGATGACGATTTCTATGCATCACTTCATTTCATTGTCCTGAATATATTTATAGTAGTGTTAGGATCGCAGACAAAATAACCCTTTAAAAATTGGTGAACTCCTTAAAATAGGTAAACTCTGAAAAGTTTCATGGTTGTCCTTAAATTATAGTTACACCCATTTAAGAATTATTCTGTAAGTACTGTATCGATCTATTCTAATAACCCTATTATTGATTGGTTATCCCCATCAATCACTAACATGCTGATTAGGACAAATTGATTGAACATCTTTCGTGTAATTCCCTAGTGGTCATTTGAAGTAGGCATTGATTGTGTTGGTCTAGAAATCCAATGAAACTTTCATTATTAAGATGCCTGGTTTGGAGACTGTAACCTTATCAAAGATCTCACCATTTAAATATTGTATCACTGATTTTCTGTAACTTTGTTTCGATTAATTGTTTACTTGTTTTGCCAAAATACTTGATTACATCTATATATTATGTTTTCGCTTGATTAGACTGCTAAAGATAAATTGTTTGAATATGCCACATACTATTTTAGCAGAAAGTTCTTTCGGACATAAACTCATTCGAGATCCTTTCCTACAAACCACCCATACTAATATAAATTACTTACAACAAGAATTTCAGAAATTCTGGTGAGAAGCCTTAACCACTGCAGTTTATCTGTGTTTGGCATGAAACAAGTACCGTCGATAGGCCTGAATAATAGTTACGAAATATTGCAAACTGACTGAAGTTAGACATGTAGACCATTGGATGGGAACTCAGTAATCCGAATGTTAGGCGATCTCCTTTAGACTCACAGATTCTGAGTCCGACCTCTTGTGCGGTCTTGGGTGCCCACTACTGAAAAGTCCTAAATTGGGCAAAACAGCCATCGAGTAATGCTTCTTGGTCTCAATTGTGTTTCCATCTTCATTAAGTCCCTAATGTGAAACTACAAATCCATTTACGCCATTTGATAAACTTACGTTTGTCTTATTTTAAATACATTTCAAAGAATCCAAGACTAATGGACTCATATACAGTCAACACTGTAATCGTTCATCACTTACTTTCGTTATTATATGATTTCGATATTTCGAATTTTGTTGTGAATGATAAAGTCAAGCAAGAAATATTAAACTTATTGCTTTCTGCCTTTCACAGTACGTTTATACTCACTTTATGCTTTGAGAATAGAGTATTATTCATCAATTTCATTATTAAACCGATAACCACAGCTTCCATTATTTTTACTGGATGGCTTTTAAAACTTTTCTCCTTGTTTAAACATTACCCATTTCTGTCAGACAATCTATCATTGGTTTTAAAAAGTCCTGTATGGTTAGATAATTGTAGATATTCGACAAGAATCCGGTATACCAAGGTTTCATGCTATTTGGCACTCGTCAGTAATCTTGAGGGAGCTGGTGCCCCCTGACGAACTTAATTCAATTTCATCTAGTTTCATTGTTTGTAACAATAAGACTGAGTTATTCGGGCTCCTACTGACCTTCTATAGGACTGAGATTTTTACAATTGACTTATCACTGAATAGTGACTAATGTCATGTTTATCTAGTCTTTTAGTGCTAATTGAATCTTGTTGATTAACTACATTATAACTTAATGAATAGAATTCTACCAGCAGCAGCAAATGACTAGACAAACGTGATATTGATCACTACTCACCAACCAATCAATTTCAAATCCCTTTATTCAATAAGCTGTATGGTGCAATCCGACCAACCAAACCAGATTAAATACAATTTTACTCAAACCTATAGCTCATCGATCGAAAAGTCAAGTTCTTGGGTACCACTGTAGTGAACAAGAACATGACTGCGGACAATAGAATGTATTTAGGCACAACATTACAGAATATCTCATTAAAATATGAGAACAATATAGTGAACAGTTAATTTGCGAAATAACAAACAATGGTCTCAATTTGACTGTTTCTTCTGCAAATATTCATCCATCGTCTCTGATTATAATTGTTCATGCATTTTCGTACCAATTACGTGTCGTTCACGTTCTCTCCTTATCGATCTTCTACTGAAATACATTCAATGCCCGACCATCACCATATATCACTTATATGGATATAAGTAGACCACACCACCACCATTAAGCGATGTCTTTTTATGTACTGACAATATGTTTGAGAAAGAATAAAAATCTAATACTTCTCTCTGTTTCTGATTTCGTTTACTGTTCATCTACTACTACAGTATGATGTTGTAAAATATTTTTAACAAATAAAGTTTTTTAACATTTATGTTCAAAATGATTTTTCTTTTCCTGAAATTTTAGGATTAGCTCGTCGTACAAATGCAAAATTTTTATTCGCTTCTACTTCAGAAATTTATGGCGGTTAGTTTGGAGTAATTTTTTAAAAAAAGTTGTAAAATAAAATATTTATTTATTTATTTAAACACATAAATATTGGTACAAAGCGGACACCAGATATATATGCGCCACAGAAACCTCATTCGATTTGTGTAAGGGCTGTGATACTGTCTGGGTGCCCAAACTGAAACAGGTGGTTTTCTTAGGGAGTCACACCCGGAGCCTTTGACCTAAAGGACTGATCGACAAGACAGTGGAGCATGGTGAGGAGATGAAATCCCATGGTAGCCGGTGACCAACAACTGATTCATCCGTCATTTGTTCCCTCAGGATACTGGAGCCCATGTGCACCATGTGGTTTGGAATGAGGGTTTTCCAACTCCCCTAGGTGAATTCACCGTGTTCATCAACCCGGTTGAAGCGCCGGACATTCGGTTTTCGTCCTCTCAATTTCGTAAAAAACAATAATGCCACGAGAAGGCAGTGAGTAGGACTTCCGTGACAGTGACTATATACGCGTGGCCATGTGAGAGCGTTTGGAGAGAGAGCGTACTCTCCTCACTCTCGGCCGTACTAGGGCATTCGGGGGCGTATATAAAATAATTTTATAAGTTTTATTTTACATTCCTGTTGACCACCTCCAACCACCACCTTACCTCAACATTCTAAAATTGTTTTATTCCCCACCCCCGAAATATTCTTTTTCGGCTATTATTCATTCCAAATTCACCGAGAATTCTAAAAGTATTTTTGTAATGTTTAATAATTATTACTACTGATCTGAATTAAGTTGTTTACATTGTGGAATTTGGGATCTACCATTCAGAAAACTCTTAAAAACTTTATTTTCCCAGTAAGTATCTCACTTACAGAAGTGTCAGGGATGTGTACATTTATCGATTTATTTATTTTCATATAGGAGGTTATACTTATTTTACAAAGTATTTATTTGCTAAACGCCTATGTATCAGAGCACTACTCTAAATAAATTTCCAAAAGGGAGTATTAGTCGGTTAACAGCACAATCTTTGATCACATGATCAACTCCGATCAAGTGCCGCCGCGAGGATCATTTTTCAGGACTATCTATAAAACCGAAAGAAGTCTGTCAAAGAATGTTCAAGTCACAAGTTCATACATGGCTGACTCTATACCAATCCATCAATTTAAATCTGATCACTATGTTTAAAAAAGACATGTTCAACCCTTTATTCTACCATGGTCTTAGTACTCCGTTCTAATTAATACCGATTATTATCTTATTCTTCTCTCTTCTTATATTTATAAGATAGACAGTTATGTTTCACACTTCTATAAATTATTTATTTATTTAAACACATAAATATTAGTACAAGGAAGCATTAGATACATACGCGCCACACAAATCTCATTTGATTTGTGTGAGGTCTGTGATACTGCCCGGGTGCCCAAACCGAAGCATTTTTTTATTACCTCCAAAACTATTACATAATTTCTGTTCAATACGTGGAAGTCTTAGATTACTTTATTAAATAAAACAACACCCTTCCATTTTGTTATAGATTATCACATTTAAATGTAAGTACAATTGTACAGCTTAAGTAAAGGGTATCATTGATAAAACTTCTCCGAAATATCGTCATTTTGTTAAATATAAGATTTGTCACTTGTCATTGCTTTCAAGCTTATTACGTTATTATTAGGTTGAACCAGTCACTTACTCCCATTCTGTCGTTCAAATCAAAACACCTTAATACTTATTTAAGAAGTAAACATGATCGTATCTGTTACAAACAGATTATTACCCACTATTCAATATGATCAGTGTTGTTTTAAGTGTAATGTCTAAGTATTTCTTTTTAAAAAGACCGTATGCCAACAGAATATAATCATATATAGTTAAGATCATGAGTCAATTAAAGTTAGACCACCATGGAAAACCTGTAAGCACTGGACAGCCGTTTCGTCCTATTGTGGGACTCCTCAGCAGTGCGCATCTACAATCCCGCCTCGCGAGATTCGAACCCAGGACCTTTCAGTCTCGCACCAGAGCACTTAACCGACAGACCACTGAGCTGGCATCCCATGGTGTTAGTGTCTAACCTCAACCAAGAATATGATCCGTTTAATAATATATGGGAATAAATATATTACAGAAAACTTCTATACTTTCATTATATATGACCTTAGTACAACATAAATGCGTAAAACATTGACTTTGCATGATCGATTTACATAAGTAATTGTTTGCCTATTTAACTTGTCAATGGTTGTTTTGAAGAAGATAGTCTATACATACAACAGTTGCTATGTGACTTTAAACAATTGGTTTGATCACTTGTTTTCTTAGACAGTTATTGAGTGCATTTTATAACGAACTAAAAACAGTATTCTACTTAACAGACTAACAATTACTCCTTATTTACAGAAAATTTTTTATAGGTAACTTTTTATATCTAGTGGTCGATAATAAAGTGCCCCCAAATGCCCTGGTACTGCCGAGAGTAGGAAGAGTCCGCTCTCCCTCTTCAAATGCTCTCACATGACCACGCGTATATAGCCTCTGTCAGGGAAGTCCTACTCATTGACTTCTTGTGGTGGGGGTGTTGTTTACGAAATTGAAAGGACGAAAAGCGAATGTCCGGCGCTTCAACCGGATTGATGGACACGGAAAGTTCACTTAGGGGATTTGGAAAACCCTGATTCCAAACCAATGGTGCACATGGACTCCAGTATCCTGAAGGAACAAATGGCGTATGAACCAATCGTTGGTCACCGGCTACCATGGGACTGCATCTCCTCTCGATGCTCCACTGCCTTGTGGATCAGATCTTTAGGTCAAAGGTTCGGGGTGTGGCTCCTTAAGAAAACCACCTGTTTCAGTTTGGGCATTCGGGCAGTATCACAGCCCTCACACAAATCAAATGAGATTTGTGTGGCGCATAAATATCTGGTGTCCGCTTTGTACCAATATTTATCTGTTTAAATAAATAAATAAACTATAGTAAATTAGAGGAATGTTATACACTTATCAAGGATAGTCAAACTTAAACTTCGAATGTAGAAGTTTATGAAGATGAAATGGCCTTGCACAATTTAACTGAATAGTCAAAGACTATCAAAAGACTTCAGGTATTAAATATGATGGTCTCCAAATAGAGCGGTGGTATTTCAATGTAATTAATGTTATCGGAAGTTTTCAAGTGTTGATTAGAATGGGTGTTGCGTCATTTAGCAAAGTAATAAAAATATATCAAGAAATATAGTCATGCAGTAATAAGGAAAGAAGCCTGTAAGATGGTGGTTGAAGGTAGTCAACAAGAAACCCTGGACCTAGATTTTGTGCTACTCGGCACTCGTCAGCAGAGTGTACCTGTAATGTTGAGGGGACTAACGATCCCTGACGGACTCGACCTCGTGTCGCCCAGCTTCACAGTCAGAGATGTTACCACTGAGCTCTCCAGGCTGCGACTGACTTCCTGTAGGACTGAGATGTATTGAAAGTTGATTGATCACTGGGTAGTGATCAATGTCAGGTCCTTCTTAGTGCAAGTCCAGGGGTTCCTGTTGACTATCTCCAACCACTATCTTATCTCAACATAGTGCACACGATGTCCAATCACCTAGACTGGTGTCCACATTACAACTTGATTGATATGATTCGATCTGCACCAAGAAGGACCTGACATACATGACATTGATCACCTCCCAGTGATCAGTCAATTATGAGAGAAGCCTATTTTGTCATTGAAGAATGAAAAAAAATTTTTTCAGTCTACGTGATCATATGGAGCAGATTATATTTATCCTACTAAGCTAGCTTTTCGCGATACTTCTCTGAACGTTACTTTACCTGACTTTCTAAAGGAATACAGATGTCAGTCAAAAGCTCAGTCTTGGAACATCTAGTTAATTCTGACTATTTCAATTCACCACAAGCCTTCCCCCTTCGAAATTATACATACAGTCAGAAGAATTGGCTCAAAAAAATGCAAATAAAGAAAGCTTATGTATAGCAGAGGCTATTGTTAACCACTAGTTCAAGCCAAACTTTTGCTTACAATAATAGTATATCCAGTTACCTTCTTTCCAATTATTTTCATAATTGGCATTTACCGTTTACGAAACTAGGAGAGATGCTAAAACCATGAAGGAATAAGATAGATTGAACACTACTCTTTTTCTGCACAGATGTTGGGTTTGAAATAATGATTTGCTGCTAGCTTTTTACAATTTCTTTCGGATCTATAAAATTAAATAGAGAAAGAATAAATATCTTAGCAGAATAACATGAATCCATTTGTTTCGTGGATCCTCGTCAGCTGCTTACAACTGAAAACTACGGAATTAATAATTAAAACGAAATAAGTGTGAATACTTTACATCGAAAAAGTCTTGGATTCGTTGGGTTACCATGTAGAAATAGAATATAGTATGAGACAATAATACTGAAGAATCAAAACTGTTTAGATGTTCGCTTACTTATAGATCAAATATTCTAAAGAGCATGGGAAACAGTATTTTCTTCGAAATTGAAGATAGATTACATAACACTAGTTGAGCAAAGCTTAAAAGTACGAACTAACATATTCACCGTTACAGTTATAGTTATGAAAAAAAAATAGCTTCAACTGTGAATTTAACTTTATAAACGACCATGAACGACGATTCTCCTGGCGGTGTACAACTAAAGTTAGTCATATGTTCAGGGTTTGAGCTGTTAGTCGATTTGCACCCGAGCACTATCCTGCATAGCTATTTAAAGGGAAAGAAATCTCAGAGTATCAAAGTTGGTTTTCTGTACTGTTTAGGTAATTTCGTATGGTGCTCCTTGAAGGATTCTACAAACACCCTTGACTTTGGCCTGAACCCCATAAAGTACTCTCGATATTTCAATTAAAGTTTACATCAGGTGGTGTTTCTCGTAATTAAGCTTTCATACCATGCCATATTCACTGCATAGTTGTCAGGCAGATATGTTTATCCATTTTAAATATCATACAAACAGGTGCAAGTTATGTGTTATCGGATTTTGATTTCCGCACAAAAGTCGAAACCACTATCTTAAATCTGAATGACTCTTCTATAGATCACAGTTTCACCGTAGTTTTGTTTGACAGGTAAAAACCAATGTTTAATTGACCAGTGGAGCTAATCCATGTCAGGTAGAGACGGGTATCTACCTCAGGACAATGGAAGTTGGTCGCGCGATTTCGTGGATTGGTTGAGGTTAGACATTAATACCGTTGGATGCCGGCTCAGTGGTCTATCGGTTAAGTGCTCTGGCGCGTGTGTGATCGACCTCAAGCAGTTGTCTCTTGGGCACTGCGGTCACGCTCTCAGGTCATTAAGACCACTTCTAACCCAATTTATTTTTCAGGTACCTCTAGAAGAACCCTTCCTCGGTGTGGGCAACCGGGAAGTGATAACTGCCCTCATACCTCTAACAGCACTCAAGACCACTGTATTCATAATCAATCTCCTTCACTTCCCACTGTTCCCTCTACCTCAACTTTTAACACTAAACTTCCTCTTTCCGTTTCCTCTAACGCGAGACTGGTAGGTCCTTGAGTTCGAATCTTGCGAAGGCGGGGTCGTGGATGCACACTGCTGAGGAGTCTCACTGTAGGACGAAACAGCCGTCCAGTGCTTCCAGGTTTCCCATGGTGGTCTAGCTTCAATTGACTCATTATCTCAACTATATAAAAAAACTCCTAAAATCTCCACAAAACCCCCTTCTTCAATTGTGTTTTTTTGATGCTGAGCAATAGCCCTATTGATAAAATTTGAATAAATGAATACGTTTATAAGTAGTATTATCTTTCATATTATAAATTACGCACTCAGTATATTCGCTTTTGCAAGCACATATGTATTCTACTTTCATTGTTTTTTTTCTTCTCCACAATTAAAGATCCTGAAGTTCATCCTCAACCTGAATCCTATTGGGGTAATGTAAATCCAATTGGTCCTAGAGCTTGTTATGATGAAAGCAAACGACTTGGTGAAACAATGACTTATGCTTATTTTAGACATGTAAGTTCAATTTTTGTATGTAATTCTATACAGCCTAATATGATGGATATCAGTAATTCATCATTATATATAGAGCAGTTGTAAGGAGTAATTCAGTCGCTGAAACTTTTTTTTGCTGAGATATAATCTCACTTTTAAATTTTAATGAAATGCAAACAATCTCCTTTCTGGCTATGTTATGTAAGCCCAACTAAAGCTGGCTGACGTGGAAGCAGATTGAGAAAATATTGGAGACTGTCAAATTAAATTGTAGCTTGAATCCACGAAATCATCAACCGATTGGTTTGACCTATATTGGTAGATGTATATTGTCTGGATGGGATCAATGAAGTATAAATGATCAATGATTGGAGACGTTAGGTGACCTAGCTCAAAACTAGTCACAGTGGCGCTGACTATTCTCTGTCTTCATCTAAATATTGTACTTCAATATAATTTCATATTTTCATTCCTTTGTATTTGATTCGCTATTTTTAAATCCTATTCTTTATGTTTAGACTTTATTACCATCATCATTATTTCTATTATTTTACTATCCACTTTGTTCATTTCATCTTGAACTTGTATGTTAATTACATCCCGGTTATACTTCAATCACCACATAATGCGTAATTTGTTTTGGTAAGAAACAGATTACAAAGAAAGGAGAGTAGCTGAAACGTTCCATATAATGCTTAATCCTACTGCTCTCAATAGTAAAGAAGGCTTTGCCATGCATCCTACTTGGACTGTCTATCCTAGCCAATTAGTCTGATATTATTCACAATTCACACTATTATCTTATCTATCCTTTATCACTATCAAGGTCGCACATTTTTCATCCTTAATAGTGCATACACTCATAAGTTTACATACATGACGCTTATGAATAACCTTGACCGAAATGACATGACATTGATTTATTCAGACCTGTTTTTTGATTGATCACATAATATTCGTGTTGTTCCGTTGTACTAATTAAACTCGGATTAATTTTGATTTGGTTATTTATTCACTGAGTCACGAAACGTCAAAAAAATATAATTTTTCTACTCATCGGGAGAGAGATCACAAGTATTTGATAGAAGTTGACCAATAAATTACTTATAGTGGTCAACTATACAAACGATTCTCCCTCTCAAAGTGCAAAATGTTACTTCAGGATTAGGTTGCATCGGCACCTGAACTAATGATAGGGAGGGAAGTAGTTGAGCGTGTTGACCGCTTCACTTATCTTGGGAGTCTCATCAGCCCCTGTGATCTGGTGTGTGACGAAATCTCAGCACGGATACAGAAGGATCGTCTAGCTTTCGCCAACTTGCATCAATTATGGCGTAGGCGAGATATCTGTCTAGCAACCAAAGGACGGGTTTACTGTGCAGCAGTTCGTTCCGTCCTACTCTATGGCAGTGAAACATGGCCGATAAGAGTAGAGGATATTCGTAGGCTACTAGTGTTCGATCATAGGTGTCTTCGAAGCATTACTCGTATATCCTGGGGCCACCGGGTAAGTAATGCAGATGTTAGGAAACATGTACTAGGTAAGGATGGCAAATCGGTTGATGAAGTGAAACTTCATCAGTTGAGATGGATGGGACATGTGTTACGTATGCCCAACCACCGACTGCCCCGACGTGCAATGTTTCATGGTGTAGGAGTAGGTTGGAAGGAAGCTAGGGGCGGCCAGACCAAAACGTGGCACAAATCCATGAAGTAACTGGCAAGTGAACTGAGCCATCTTGATATGTGTAGACTACCTGGTTGGAATTCGCGAGATGGTAGCAATCGATGGTTAGAGACTTTGAATGACATGGCTCAAAATCGTTTGCAATGGCGAAGGTGCATCCACTCTTTGTGTTCTACCAAATTATAATCTTCTGAATTCTTCATGTCCCTATCATTTTTCTCTTTCCAAATTTATTTCACTGGATTCTATTCCTTCAATAACATCTTCAAACCCAAATCTTTCTGATTACTGCTTATACTCTTACTACCTCTACCATTATGGGATTTGAACTGACAACTACATCTCTGTGTTAATGTGGTATGACAACTCGAACTGATGTACGTACGTACGAAGTTCTACATTGTGACTGATTGACTTAGATTATGATACATCACTTAACGATTGAAGTATTTGAAATATCTATTCACTGATTGAGTTCCATGATTGACTTTTAAGAGTAAAGAGTTGGTGACCAATTATTTGTTGCTTTCAATATTGTCCTTATCTTAGTTTTTCTCTAGGCTATAACATAATTTTCATATCGGTATTAGGAACTTTCAACTGAGTAACTTATAACGGGGTAGGATTTAATAAAAAAATCTTTAGATTGGTAAATTGAGTGGATCCAATACTGGTCACTAGATAGATGCAAGTAATGATACAACGTGATCGGGAGTTGGCTGCTCACCAGAACTTAACTTTAAATGCATCAGGAGATGAGGCAGCTACTCAGCAGAATAGGCTTTTTATGTTATAAGATAACAGGCTTATGTACAAATTATTAACAGGAAACTAAACATCATTTATTGTCGTAGACGATCGGAGGAAACCAATTTTATAGGTCATGCACTCTTCAGCCAATATATATCATCTTTAAGATTAAATTGATTTGGTTTGACTATTTATTTCTCCTTGTATAGTTAAACATTTTTTTTCATCTCAAGTTACCAGTAATCAGCTAGTTATTTTTGATAACATAATCTAAGCACGAGGTTTACCGTAGTGAACAAGAACAAATTGGTAAGCATACAACATAACTGAGTAGTGAAGTTTAGGATTGTGGACGTGGCTACAAGTTCCATCTCTTGTTGTTCGAATAAACGTACTGCATGCATTTTCAAAATTTCGACAGGTAGAGAGATTGATTCACTCCTATTGTGGGGTGCTCTGTTTATGAGGACAGACATAAGTAGTATATAGCAGCAATTGAAAGCGGAATACTTACCAGCAGAAGATAAAAATTAAGAGTACGGGAAGGAAAACAAAAAAACAATCGACATAACAACAGGATTGAAAGAATGATAATATGTATGTAAAGGACAACTCCAGGAAGATATACAAATGAAGTCACTGTATGATTTTGCAGAAAATAATAAATTAATTTACCAGTTCTGAATCTTTGTTCACTACACTATTACACATTCAACTAAATCATTTGCCCCCAAATGCCCTGGTACGGCCGTGAGTGGCTAGAGTCCGCTCTCCCTCTCCAAAGCTCCCACATGACCACGCGTATTTAGCCTTTACCAGCGAAGTCCTACTCACTGCCTTCTCGTGGCCACGGTGTTGTTGACAAAATTAAGAGGATGAAAAGCGAATGTCCACCTAGGGGAGTTGGAAAGCCCTTATTCCAAACCAATGATTCACATGGGCTCCAGTATCCTGGAGGAACAAATGGCGTATGAACCTATCGTCGGTCACCGACTACCACGGGACTACATCTCACGATGCTCCACTGCCTTGTGGATCAGACCTTTATGTCAAAGGCTTGGTGTATGGCTCCCTAAGAAAACCACCTGCTTCGGTTTGGGCACCTGGACAGTATCACAGCCCTTACACAAATCGAATGAGATTTGTGCGGCGCATATATATCTGGTGTCCGCTTTGTACCAATATTTATATGTTTAAATAAATAAATAATCATAAATTTCGGTAATGGTAGATAGATGAACTAATATTGATTGTACTTTGCTAATCTAATTGTTAACCTTATTGATAGTTTATTTGTTATTCAATTGAATTATATTTGTAATTTTATAATTCTATTATCAATATAGCTTAATCTTCCTGTTAGAGTTGCCCGTATATTCAATACTTATGGACCAAGAATGCAAATTAATGATGGTCGAGTAGTTACTAATTTCATTGCACAAGCATTAAATAATGAATCGATTACGGTAATTAATATATTTGTATTTATTATTTCTCAAATAAATATACTTTATCGGAAGAGGTTTTGTGAAGATTTCAGTATTTTCATAGTTGAAATCATGAGCCGATTGAAGGTAGACCACTATGGAAAGCCTGGAAGCACTGAACGGCCGTTTCATCCTATTATGGGACTCCTCAACAGTGCGCATCCACTCGCTTTATTTTGAAAACTATGTCATTTGAAAAGCTATTTAACTAAAATCTATATGTTATTTATTCACTTTTACGCATATTTAATAACAATGCTTAGTCGGAATTTCACGATGACCTCAAAGTTTTTCTGTAAATAAATAATAAACAAAAATAAGCCTAGTGAATGTAACAGAGAGAAAGATAACTAATTTATTGATAAAAAAATCGATTAAATTACATGATAATCATAGTAAAGAGTTATAATCAAAGGTGGATAGTGGCTAGCAGTGGAATCCAGGACGCGTGTTTCGTCCCCATTGCACATGCAAGCGGCTATTAGGACTCAGTAGCTTAGTGGATAATGTGATGGCGTTTGAAGCGAAAAGTACTGGGTTTGAGTCTCAGAGTGAACATCAACTATGAGATGCAAGTACATCCAGCTGACGAGTCCCAGATGGGACGAAACGCGCTTCCTGGGTTCCACTGCTAGCCACTATCCATCTTTGTTTACCATGCTTGTGAATTAAGGCAATATCGAGGCAATACATACAGTATGAAAATATGTCAATTAGAGACTGATCAATTGCAGTACTAAACATCAATGGGAAGTTGCAAACAAACAATACGAAGTGTAAGTAAAGAGTTGTTCTTACTGCTAAAATTGATTAGTGAAAAGGTAAATGTTATATTTAGAACTTAGATTCTTGCTATACCGTATACAACTTGAGCACTCGAACGCTTAATTCTTCCAAATCGCAAATTAGAAGACATGAGACTAGTGAGAAGGAATCGTATTCTAAATAGTGTCAAATGTGGTATAAAACACTCAGGTATTTATAGTTTTTATTAAAAAACAAAATCGTCATCACAGTCATTCAATCCGCATGCAGTGGTTGTTAGCAGTCCAATCGGAAAGCTACACGTCGAGACTCTGAAATGTTCTTTCAGACGATTACTGGATGGAGTATTTTCGGCTCTTTCTAGGCTCCTTTAAGTTCACCGAGAGCTGTCCCCACCGTAAACTGTTTTATAGGAAACATTTATTCAAAATGAAATCATATTCTTCACAAAAGGACTAAATTTTTATTACAATTATGTTCTCTGGTTTGGCAGGTTAATCGTGAAGCTTTAGTTATCTTTCTAAACAATACTGTCATCACCATAAACTTCTGATGGAAGTGAGTTCTGGGAATCTTTCTAAAAGGGATTAGCAACTTGTTCTGTTGACCTTGAGTCAGATTGGTTATTGTTAATGCTTATGCTGTCATTGTCTGCATATTCACTCACATTGCCATCTCTTTTACCCTTCCAGCAGTGAAAATATGCAGAGAACGAATGCAATCGTGTTGAGATACTGTAAACTGAATCACAAGTGGTGGTTGAAGGTTGTGGACAAGACACTGTAGTTTCGTGTTTTCGGCACTTACCACAAGATGTACCTGTATTCATAGTATACCCAGAATACTGAACTGCATCCAATGATGTACATGTCTAACCGTCGTCAATTGCCTGAGGTAGGTAGCTGTCGCAGACCCGACATGGTTGAACTCTACTGGTCACAACTCAGTGGTTTAATGATTCAATGCTCGCGCGCGAGATCTAAGGTTTTGATTTCAATTCACGTATTCGAGATTGTGAATGCATACTGCTGAAGAGTCCCGTCCTAGGATGAACTGAACGTCTAGTACCTCCAGATTTCCAGCGGTCATGTAGATAATATCTGTTCGTGATTCAAATTATCAAAATTCTACCATCTTCACGAATCCCACCATATTACTAATAATCGTATGCTTATTAGTCACTAACTTCGAGGTGCAACTCCTAGGGTTCTAGTGGGAAGTTGTTGCCGGCAGAGCTCAACCATGTTGGATGTGGTACACCTATCCACCTCAGGCAATGGATGATGGTTGCGCAATGTTGTGAATTGATTTAAGTTAGATATATACATTATTGGATCCGCTTCAATATTCTAGGTATATTGTGATTTAATTGAGTTATTTAACATATTTTAGTGAGTGAGGTACAACAATTTAATACAATTGTTTTTTTTTCGGATTGTTTTTACTACTGGAAGGTTAAAGAGGAATAGTTTTGATAAGTAGCTTGTTGCGTTCACTTCTAGCTTGCAATGTTCAGGGCCATGGTGGAATAAATTTGGCCTACAATGGTATTCAGTATTGTTCTCGCGTGACCATTTATGAATAAGCGCTCAAAAACAAGTTTTCACGTTTCTTGGTGATTTTAAGGTACAACTAATCAAGATATTCAAATGGAACTAATTATCTGATAAGCGCATAACAATTTAAATGAATCCTCTAAGAATATAGTAGTGATTGGATTGGATAAGTTTCACAATGGGAAAACTTTTATCATTAAAATGTTTGATTTTATGTGAGGACAACCCACGGGTGAACTTGATGAAGCTCTAAGAAGCTCTGAAAGAGCCCAAGATATTCTACCTAATCGTCCTTTTGAAGAATATTCCAGAATCTCTACGTGTAGCTTCCCTATTGGACAACTGCTAATAATCCCCTGTATGTGGATTAAAGGACTATAACGATGATTTCGTTTTTATTAAAAACTATAAATACATCAGTGTTTCGTACCATACTTGACATTGTTTGGAATAGCATTCCTTTCACTTGTCCTCTATCTTCTCATTTGCAACTTGGAGCGTTCGAGCACTCGTTGTACTCAGTACATTAAGAATCTAAGGTCTTGATATAACATTTCGAAGTAAACTTAAGCCTTTTAGCAAGGTTTTTCATATGTGCAATTCAGTAAATCACAATTCAAATATCATCCAAGATGAAAATGTCAAGTCAGTGCTACAAACAATTTGATTTTTGATTATAGAACTATTCATTGTTACAATCGACTCATTGATAATTCGAGATTATCTTCACTGGTAGTTGTGTAAAAAGCTACTTTTTTCATGAGAAAACAATGCATATTGATATCGTAATAAAAATCCCAGCACTTTTTATGTGATACCCTCTTGAAGCCAAACCGATATTCATGCTTAAGCAACTTCTTCTGGCCAAGAAAAGTTTCGAAATATCATTTTTAACTACTTATTAACAGTAAGTAGTGATGCAGAAAACAAACTGAGAAAACTGCAGTTGAGAGAATATGAATGAAACATTCATCTTTTATCAATAATTTGGTACTATAAATATTAACTAGATCAAGTGTTCTTATTGCCGAAGGAATATGTGTGTGCTATAAAAAATGCGTTTTATTGCACTCCCCGTCAATTTAGGTATATGGATTAGGAGAACAAACTAGATCTTTTCAGTATATCAGTGATCTTGTGAATGGTCTTGTAGCTTTAATGGAATCCAATTATACAATGCCTGTTAATTTGGGAAATCCTGTTGAATTTACAGTGAATGAATTAGCAATCATGGTCAAGAATTTTACAGGTAAGTCCCCTTAAACTAAGGTTTCTTTGTATTTAGCAACCAAAAGCTTATTATATTCGACTATTTAAACCATTTGAATTCTGTCCTATGAATTAGAAGTGATAGTTATGGTTGCTTATTGAACTAGTTTTCCCGAGTTATTTTATGCGGACATGGAGATTACTTGATATGTACTGTGCTTTGATAGTTAGAAAAACCAGTTTCTAGTCTTCAAAAGTCTAATATTTTTCAATCTTAAAGCAAAACAGAAAGCTGGAAATATAGAAGAATCTTTACATCAATAGCTAGTTAATGCACAGAAAATACGGGTGTTCATAGAATCCTGTAAGATTTTGTAAAAATATACTAAAATTTGCTTCAGGTTCTGTATTTATCCAACGAGGATAAGTAATTCTTTTGGAATTTCCTAGGTAATCGTGATTGATTCAAGTGTTCTCGACATTTTGTTAGCTTCTGGGAACGTTTTAAAGTAATCATATAGTGCTTCTAACATCGTTTATTGAAGTCTGATTATGTTACAACAACTTTATTTCTGTAAACAAGTTAATATTTACAAGTAAACTGAATTGTAATAGCAGTTAAGTGTTGTCCAAAAGTAATCAACTTCTTCAATGAAATGTACCAACCCGTTGTCATAAATGGCAATAAATAATGGTTTAACACTATAAATATCAATTTTGCTCACTAGCAAGATTATAATTTATGAAAGAACCAATCAGATTCGAAATAGGGAGTCTTCGATTTCGACGCGAAGTCTACCGATCCATATGGCTAAATACTATTTTGGCATTTAGTTGATGCCAGTTCATGATGAAAATCCCAACTCTAAGTTTCGATTCCGATTTCTCACACTAACTTGTAACCTTCCTTAAACCCTAGCAGGTCGGTGGATCTGCTCAAGGTCACTTTGACGTCACTCGAAAGTCGTCCATAAATTATTGTTTCAACTTATCACTTTACTTTTATTACTCACCATAATAGTTTTTCAATTTTCAAATGAAACCTCACATAATCACAACTTCCTACGGTAAATGGAATAATGTGTTTCCAGCCTCGCACATATATCTTTGATACCCTGTAACTATACATCGAAATGGATAAAGCTGTCTAAACTAATCCCCAGTTTCCTTCCTAATTGCCTCTACTACTAAGTTAACTATGTGAAGTGTTAGGGATTTTCTCAATTATTATAATGTTATGCGAATTATTGGATCCGGTGATTTTAAATCAGGTTATGATGCCAGTTGGAGAATTATTGAGAACTAGCAAGTATTAAACAGATGTTTCGTCCTAGTATGGGACTTTTCAGTAGTGCCTACCTACAACCCCACCACAAACTCAGAATTGATGCTTGGTGATGGAACGATTGAAGGCTTCGTTCACAATGAATATATCAGTCCAATTTGTTGCAGTTCACAATATCACGACGAGATGTTAGTAGGAGTAAATGTAAAAAGAAATGTAGTAGCTTTAATCAGCCAACTGTCTACGCTAGTCAGTATCTTATGTCGGAATAAACGGTAGCGGAGCACATTCTCATTGTACCGTCCAACTACCCTTATTCATGAAAGTTATCTACTTCATCAATCAACTTATCATCTCTGCTTAGTACCCTAATCTGTGTATGGTAGATCTAACTTACTTTTTAAAGTAGAATTTGCAAGTGTAATCTAATGAATAATACTCACTGTGTTCAGGTTATGATTTTTCGTTATTCATCAAGGCGCAGCGTTACATTTGAAAAAACAAAGCAAATGAATAGGTACTTATATTTGCGATCACTTTCACGATATTGCTACGAGATTATTGAAGACGTTTGAAATAGGTGTAGTACATAAACCAGCAAAATCATTTGAATCCATCTTATGCCAAGCAAAGGATGAAATGTTAAGAAAAGAAAGGTCCATGAAGACATAGTTTAAATTTATGAGGGGCATATATATATATATATATATATATATAGTTTTAGTCAGTAAAGCTTGCTTTCACTTAAGTAAACGGTTTGTGCACTCATATAGAAAGCTTCTAAGTCAGTCTAAAAATTGGCAACCATACAAAATAACCATTTGTTGTTTTTTATTTGTCTGACTAACAGATAGTAAAAGTGATATCATTTATCAACCATTACCAATCGATGATCCTCAACGAAGACAACCTGATATTGGTACAGCTATAAAACAATTGAATTGGAAACCATCAGTAACTTTACAAGAAGGATTACATAAAACTATAATTTATTTTAAAGATTTATTAAAACCATCATCTGAATGTGACATACATTAGATCACTTCAATAAATCAAGATTTACATGATCTTATTCTACTGTATACCTTTATGAATGTTGATTTTTTTTTCATACATTTAATCATTCAAATTGAAATTTAGTTTATTATGTATCTTGATGTAAAGTATCTTTCTTTGTTGTATATTAATTGATAAAATATAAATATTCTGACTTGATGGTATTTGTTTTATGTTAACATGTTCTTGGTCTATACAATGTATGAAGGTTAAGTGAAGATTACTTAGTTACCAATTATGAATGGAACTACTTTAGCCCCCAAATGCCCTGGTATGGCCGAGAGTGGGGAGAGTCCGCTCTACCTCTCGAAATGCTCTCACATAGCCACGCGTATATAGTCACTGTCACGGAAGTCCTACTCACTGCCTTCTCGTAAAGGGGGTTTTGCTTACGAAATTGCAAGGACAAAAAGCCAATGTCCAGCGCTTCAACCGGATTGGTGGATACGGAAAGTTCACCTAGGGGAGTTGGAAAACCCTGATTCCAAACCGATGGTGCACATGGGCCCCAGTATCCTGTAGGAACAAATGGCGTATGAATCAATCGTTGGTCACCGGCTACCATGGGACTGCATCTCCTCACGTTGCTCCACTGCCTTGTGGATCAGGTCTTTAGGTCAAAGGCTCTCTAAGAAAACCACCTGTTTCAGTTTGTGCATTCGGGCAGTATCCCAACCCTCACACAAATCAATGAGGTTTTTGCGGCTCATACGTATCTGGTGCTTTCTTGTACCAATATTTATCTGTTTAAATAAATAAATAACTTTAGCATCTCTACTACAATTAAGTTTGTTTATGGTTAATTTTGTCAAGCCCTTCAATTAAAAGACTGTATTTTTCGTACTGTAATAATTTGTTTATGTTTTTGTATTTATATTATTATTATGTTTGTATGAACATGTATGGTCGATCACATTGTCATTATTATTATTAGCTTTATTCAATATTATATTTTTGGTACAATATAGAATTCTCAGCACAAAGTTCTTCAACAAGTTTCCGTTTCTTACTTCTTCGTCCTTCCTGACGATAAATATTGAGTGATCGCCAGTTAGAAGTTAGCAGCCCAGTCAATCGACATCTGAATAATGTACATTCTCCTCGCTGCATATTGCCAGCAACCACGATATTTTTGATTAGGCCTTCTGTAACCTTTACAGCGAAAGGTCTTACACTTTTCAGAAACGCACCTGAATAGATTGTGCGATTAATAGGCATAATGATTTATTAAAACAAACGAAATTAGATAACTTGTTGAAATATCTAGATGACAGGAACAGGTAGCCCAGATGCTTAAGCATGCGATAGCCAACTCAGATATCAATCTCTCTGGCTTAAATGTTAATTGTTTAAACACCGCTCGATGAATTATTCCCCTTCCCGTATATATATGCTTGGATATTATTAGTTGATTCGACTCTGAATTCACGTCTGTGTTCGCTTGCTCGTGTGTATTGGCTTTTCTACTCAAATTCTCTCGGAATGTTTGTAGCTTTGTGATCTGCACTATCCAATAGTAAACTGTAGTCTGCTCTTAGTGTCGCCTTCTGAATTCGTACACTGTCGGAATTTATTTAATAACTGTTATCAAGGTGATTGATACAGGAAGCCTAAGAAATTATTTTGTAGGGTCACTGAATATCGAACAGATCATTGATCCCTGTCAAGGATAGTCAACGCGCATCAATCAAGTATATGCCATGGACTGGCCCACGCGGCAGTAGGTGTTCTTTCACTTCTATACTTTAGTGGTTGTACCTTAATTAATATATTCTTGTAATAACGTCCTTTGTGTTGTGCAGTCTCCATAGCGTCCATGATCCTTTGACGCTTCGATGGTTCAATCCACGTAAGTGCTGGTCGTGAGGTGTAACTTCAGCGTTAGTTGGTTCGTCACCATTCTCATCTAATTATAGTAGGCCCCCAATCATTTTGACATAAAACATCAACGTGGATGATCTTACACTGGTGAGCTCGACGTGATTCCTAAAAGTGAGGTCAGACAACGGAAAAGTCCAGATTCGAACTGACGTCCGAGGTCTGTAGTGATGGTTGAAGGGTAGCCGAAATTTACTACCCATCGTTCGACGAAAGCGTGGGCCACGATTTCAGCAGTAATGTCCTTAATCGGTACTGCTTCTGGCCATCGAGTAAAACGGTCTACTCATGTTAGGAGATATGAGTATCCGTTTGAGTCGGCTAAGGGTCCTACCAAATCTAGATGCACGTGGTCGAAACGAGCGTCAGGGGTTTTGAAAGAGCCTAAGGGACATTTGTTGTGTCTTATGACCTTAGATTTCTGACAGCTTACACAGGAGCGTGCCCACTCCCTCACGTCTGTATTCATGCCAGGCCAGCAAAACCGTTCGGCTATCAGTTTGACTGTTGCACGAGCACCTGGCTGAGAAAGATTGTGCAACGTATTGAAGACGTTGCGTCGATAATGTTTTGGTACTATTGGACGATCCCCACCTGTAGATGTGTCACACAGTAAGGTTTCCTTACCTGTTCCCATCTGCTTAATACTTAGTTTAAGAGTTGTTGAGGATAACTCATGCTGAAGATCAATGTCTTCTTTTTGAAGCTGAGCGAGTTTAAGAAGGTCGATTCCTTGGAAACTGTTCAAGGAACCTATTCGAGACAAGGCGTCTGCGACTACATTGTTAGCTCCAGAAATGTGTTGCATGTCTGAAGTAAACTGCGAAATGTTGTCGAGACTCGCGGTGAGTACTTGTCTGAAGATGAACTTAAATAGAAGGTAAGAGGTTTGTGATCGGTAAAAAGCGTGAATTCTCTTCCCTCGATGGAATGTTGGAAATGCCGTACAGCACAATACATAGCTAGGAGTTCCCTACCGAACATGCTGCACCTAGATTCCGCGTCTAGCAACCGTCTCGAGAAAAATCCTAAAGGTTGCCACGAGTTGTTAACCCATTGTTGTAAGACTCCGATTGCTGAGTCGGATGCGTCTACGGCGATACTAATGGGCGCTTGAGTGTCCTGATGAGCAAGCATGGTTGTTTTAGCGATGTTTTTTCAACTGTGGAGAATGCTTTACGGGCAATATCGTCTAAACTAATTGATTTTGCATTTTCACGAAGCTGATCGGTTAACGGTTTCGTAAGGGATGCGCACTTGGGTATGAACCGTCTATAGAAACTTACGAGTCCGTTAAAAGTTCGTAACTGCTTGATCATGGTCGGTTCTGGTTAATCCAGAATGGCCGCCACTTTGCTCCTAAGGGGTCGTTTGAGGTTTTTCTTTGACTGAAAAAACCTCGGCCTTAGAAGATTTAGTGATTTCTAAGATTCGGTCGGCAGATGCAGCCAGCTCGTCTATGTCGTTGTTTTGAAATGAAACAAGCACTGCCTGCACCTGATGAGGAAGTTTAGGCAAGAAAAGTTGTCTGAATAGGTCATCATCAAAAGTTCGTTGGCCGATAACTTCTCTCATTCTAAGCAACATGTCTATCGCAGAACCATGTTGCAAGTCGATGTTATGGAGTAGTTGGTCTAACCGTTGCCGGTCGGTTAGGTCTCCACGTTTTAGAATCGAACATTTGAAAGTTTCGTAATGTTCGGGAACATCACTAGTAAATATACTAGGTGTTACGTACCTGTTAAACTCGCGCGGTAACGCCTTAACTACCGCGAGGAATCGTGTGCGCGAGTCCGTGATTCCGTGCATGCAAAAATCAGCTTCTGCGTAACAGAACCAGGACTCGATATTGTCGGGCCAAAATGGCGAAATAGGGGGAATAGACTTTAACTTAAAAACCTTGGGTGAGTGTTCCGTCATAGTAATATAGATAACGAAAAATGTCTAATTAAAATATATCCGGGGAAAAAAGTTCGCGAAAAAAATAGTATATCACAATATTTAAAATTCAAATAAAGAATAACAATGAATAATAATATTCCAAAATGGAACAGACTCAGTATATTGGCTTGGTGTACCATGTAATTACACTTTTAGTGTGAGTTTATTAAGTAATCTGTAAGCTTGTTCAGTATTGATGCAAACCCTCACTCGTCTTTTATCAGGTGTTAGTATGAAGAGTTGACTAGGAAGTTTTATGAGATAGTATATTTCACACTAATTGGAAATAAAAACCAGACTAATGTGTCAGGCTGCTATTCGAACCCGAAGTGAAGTCTATAATAGTTCAAACTAAAGATAAACATAAGAGTAAGAATATGCTCTTTGATAGTCAAACTACATATTTAAAAGTGCAGGGAAATTAAACTATTACAGATATTAGTATCACTAATAGTCTATAGAAAACAAAATAAATGATTTCAAACTTGTGATCGAATGGTTGAAAGAGAAAGGGTTAAAAGATTATAGAATCAGTTAGTATCAGCTTTTTGGTTTCATGAAACTTATTAGGTGGTTTAGTCCCCTCCTCAATACTTATGTGCTTTTAAATCACAACTGTTCTGTTTGTTTATGATTGTAATTGCACCGATATAATTGAACTATCATTGCTACAGAGAAAAAAAGTACATGATTATCTAACTCAACTGTTGTCCACTGACAAGGGTGATTTCGATCATTAAAATTATCGTGATGTATAAAACAAAACCTTCATTTATATTATTGAAAGCTTTATCTTTCAATCAATCGTAAATTTTAGTTATTTATTTTATTTAAACACATAAATATTGGTACAAGAAAGCGGCCTATGCTCCTCGACGAGGGGTAATAGGCGTAAGTAAGTAAGTAAGTAAGTGACAAGAAAGCACCAGATACATATGAGCCGCACAAACTTCATTTGATTTGTGTGAGGGCTGCGATACTGCCCGGATGCACAAACTGAAACAGATGGTTTTCTTAGAGGGCCGAACCCGGAGCCTTTGACTTAAAGATCTGATCCACAAGGCAGTGGAGCATGGTGAGGAGATGCAGTCCCATGGTAGCCGGTGACCAACGATTGATTCATACGCCATTTGTTTCTGCAGGATACTGGGGCCCATGTGCACCATCGGTTTGGAATCAGGGTTTTCCAACTCCCCTACGTGAACGTTCCGTGTTCACCAATCCGGTTGAAGCGCCGGACATTCGCTTTTCGTCCTCTCAATTTCGTAAACAACAGTAATGCCACGAGAAGGCAGTGATTAGGAATTCCCTGATAGAGACTATATACGCGTGGCCATGT